GAATCATTTTTTCATGTTTTGACATGAGAAAATTTACCTCATTGCCTTTTATCTGATCCCTCTCTTTTTTTAGTTCTTATTTAAATTCACACAGAGTCTGTATCACGAAGGTTATCCTATCGTTCATCTTTTGTATTTGTTGCTGGAACAACTTGTTCTTGTCTATTGTATGAATATAGGACTCAGATCTCCTTGAAGATCTCCTTCTACAACATAGACCTTAACAGGAGGAAAGACTGATTTAAGCAGTGTCCACTTTTTAAAAAATAATTAAACAAAAGGGAAAATCAGAACAAAACCTTCCATTCAATAGAGATGAGGTCACAGCCAAGACTAGCTTAAGAATGTGACAGAACCAGACTTGCTGAGTCTGCAGAGGATTTATTCTATGATGAATAAAACTTACAGAATCCTGGTATATTCTCCATATACGGTTGTCAGTGCAGTGGAGAAGGTAGCACCATAAAGGACACAAATAGCCCTATGCTAATGACAATGATAAATTCTCATATGACAGATCTCCTGTTGAGGTTGTGGATGAGAAGGATCTTGGCTCTACTCAATAGATTTAAATGAAATAATTCAAAACCTATATATGAATCTTCATTAAACCTTTGAATTAATGGAGAAGAAGAAGTATTACCTATATAAAAACATCATACAATGCTGAAACAGGCCTAAGTTCACATTTTGTCATAGACGGTAGAAAATATCTGCACAGATACTTAAAAATACTTACTTTTTTTTCTATTCAATAAACACAAGTAACTGTTAAGTGATGAATGGAAAAGTATAAGCAGAGATGAATATTTCCCTGCTCCTACCTTTACTTGCTGAGGTGCTCAAGTATGCAGACAAGTCATTTCATTTTTCACAAATCTGTGCTAGGTCATCTTGAAGTCTGAAAAATACATGTCCAAATAAAATAAGGGAACCTGCCCTTCATACATAACTATTTTTCTTCATTGACTGTAGAGGGAGCCTAGAAACTAACTTTGGCTCAATGCCTAACATATGCCTAGTAAAGTGGAGGTGCAATCCCTCTTGCTTGGATGTACAGTCATGCACACTGCAGTCAGAGCTGAATGAAGACTCAAATGGAAGAGAACACCTGTAACTTCATGTGTCTATTCTTCATTTCTGTGTCTTCAGTAGTTTTACTCAGCAAACACCCATCTTCAAATTTATTTTTACTGCTATTGCATGACCATGTTGTTTATTTCCTTAACAAGAGAAACAAAAAGCTATATGAAGCTCACAGAGGGGTGCATGCCTGCTGTTAGAAGTAGGTAAAGAAGTTTATAATACAAACACATTTCTTCTCCCTTTGACTCTTTAAAATATAAACAAAACAAAATAAGAAAAAAATGTCATTTTTATTTTTAATTGATACTAAATTTTCCTTGATTACGATGTATTTTGAATTATTACTTTCTATTAAAAAATATTCCTGTAACATGGCTGTAAAATATCATCCAAGTACAAATACAATAGCAGATGTTAGCCTTGCAGATGTGCTGATCAAAACACAGAAAATAGGAAGATTCATCTTGCTTGCTGTGCACTTGACAGCTGCTTAAAAAACAACAAAAAGGCATTCATCTGTATCTGATCAATTCAGCAGACTACATAGTTCAATGTATTTTACTACTTAAAAATGATTCTTGCCTTCTGACAACTCACTGTTTGGATTTAACATAGCACAAGAATAGAATAGGCAACAGTGATTAACAGATCATACCTTTTCTAGTCCACAAAGCCATTATTACGAGCCACTCTTTTAAAAATCAAAAGATGGTCACCCAAGGTGCTTGTGCAGAACAATACTTTCAGTGATGAAGGAAGGGGTGGAAGTGATTCATTCCCATGATATCAAAGTTTCTTCCACTCCAGAAAGGAAATAAAGCGTCTAGAAACTCCTTGTAACTTTTAAAATTATTTATAGGTTGGTAAGATTTGTTTCATTTTGAGAAGTGAACACAAAATTTTTCAGTTTCTCACCAAGTCCAAGGAGCAAAATAACCTCTGGCTGTGGCCCAGGATGTGCCCACTTATTGCTTAACCCTGACTTCTCTCCTAAACGAGGCTTCTACTGTGAGCTCCTTTAGGCCTCACAGCCACTCTTTCAGCAGCCACAGCACAGCCTGACTTTTTATGCAGCCAGGACAAGTCATGTCTGCAATAACCTCTAAAACAAGGTATTAGTTATTAAGAGTCCCTTCAGCTTTAAATGCAGAAAGCAAAACACACACACACGCATCCATGCTGACATCATTACTCACTTCTGGCTAACCACCTCCAGGACTCATTCAGTCCCTGCACCAAGCTTCCTACGAAAGCATCCAGAGACCTCAGACCTTAATTTGAAGCTCTAGTCACAGCATTGGCACATGTTCTGTCCCCTTGCCTGACAGCTGATTAGGAGTTAATGTCCAGTTGTTCAGTCATGGTTATCTCTGAGACAGCAGCTTATCTTGTCAGTCTCTAGGAGGTTCACACCTTTAGACAGGTAAGAACACAATCCAGTCAGCATACTGACTTTCACTCTCCTGGCCCATAGAAGACATGCATCACATCTAATGCTGAGCAGATACTAACATAAGGCAAACACACTGCACGCACTGCTGCATTCTTCACAGTTGGCATATGGTTAACAATAGTTTTATTCTAACACAAACAAAAAAGAAAAATGTGTTCAAAAGATGTTTCTTTAAAATCTAATATTTTACCAGAGTTGGCTTTTCAGCAAAACACACCAGACTTTTATTATTTGGCCTCTTAAAAAAAATCCAAACAAAACCAAACATAAAACCCCTAACAACCACCAAACCACTAGTGTCTGAAAATTTCAGACTAGGTCCCTCCCATGTTCCCTTATGAAGGTCAGTGGGAAGGGCTACATTCTGCTTCTGAAACCTTCTCAAGAAGAACTGTGCAAATGCTCATCGCATATCTGGATGCATGGGCAGGGGGCCTGGAAGGTCCATGTGGTGCCACAGTATTGGGAAGGGATTGCTGGATCAGAGGTCCCCTAAAAGCTGCTAGGTACTTGTCCTCTGACTATTTCAACAAATGCAAGGATACTGAACTAGAAACGTAACTCTGTTATTGATATTATGAGGGAGGCAAAAAAAAAGGATTTCTGACTCCAAAAATCTAGGCTTGGCCTTTTTCAGAAAATTACCTGCAAAACATTTAATGCAAGAAGGCATCCAGTTGCATGAATCTGCTGCCCTCAGAGTTATCGTCGTACAGCTCATAGGATCATGCTTATAGGATCACATCCAGAACCTGCCTTGGTCTTGTCTTTCTCCATCCTCATTTACCCCCAGAAAGAGACAGTTATCCATGCCAGTCTTCACGGACTGCTAGATTTGTAGCAGCTCCAGTTTCAGACATAGTTACAGTAATTCTTTGCAATATATTTGTTTTGAGATCTTATCTCTGATGCTATTTTATACCCTGAGAATTTGCACAGCATGGTTCTCAGTGCATTCAGGCAGAATGATATAGTACAGACTGAGGTAAGGAAGTCAGACCACAGTCGTTTTACAGAGATACATCCTGGAAAGTGGGAAACAGCAGTTCAGAGGGAAGCAAATCTGTGCAGTGCCTAGAAATCAGCCATACTATGATTAAATCATAGCTCTAATCTTATGTATGTTTATTTTCAAAGTGATTCAAACGAGTACCTCAGTCTTTCTGCATGCACAGCTGGAGAACTTGAAATAATTTTGTTTCTCTGACCTCATCACTCTAATCTGCTGCTTTTCCAGGGCAGTACTCTAAGTCACCAGCCACCTTTCAAAGGTTTTTGACAGGTGTGTCTTACCACATCAGTTAAATCCATGCAAGATAACCCTTGGCTAAGAAACCTGCAACCAAACACAGTAGCAGCACATCAGTTAACTCCTTCCCTGACTCTCTGGCCTCACATTCACCTCTATCAATAAGCCCAGTAATGCACCAATTAAGTATAGAGTATTTGTAAAGGACAGAAATACAAACAGAGGAAGCACTGAAAACCAACCATCAGAAGATCTTGCTGGCATTTTATTTTTCACAGCTGATTTTCTCCTAGAAGATTGCTCAGTCACCCTTACGGCACAAGCACTGCAGCATTGCATAATGAGAAGCTAGCTGTAGGGTGACTTTTAGTGTTCTCTCTCTGTGCTCTGCTCCACCCTTTCTGTGCATCACAGAAAACAAAGCTCTATGTGCTTTACAAGGAACACCCTTCACCTGTTTAAAGGAGAAGTAATAGTCTCACTCCTCATCGCTTAAGCTGAGTAAGGAACATTCTTGACTCTTTGCTGTTGTTTGTGCCATGGCTCAGATTGGAGCAGCCTTTCTAAAGCCAGGGAGATGTACAAGGATGTTTTACAGACAAGCTTGAGCATCTTCTGCCCAAGCCAATGCAATGTTAGGGAGCCCTGCAGCTGGGGATAGATAACCAGGGTGGCATGGTCCTGCCAATGCTGCAAAGGGACCAGTCACAAGCTTATGCCCACTGTAGCAGCTTTTGTGATATACAAGTCTCTAGTCTAGGGCTACAGACATGAAATTTAAATGTTGTGGTTTAAACCCAGCAACAAAGCCACCCCTCCCCAGCCACTTGCTCAGTCCCCTCTCAGTGAGATGAGGGAGAGAATCAGAAGGGCAGAAGTGAGAAAACTTATGGGCTGAGATAAAGACAGTTAAACAGGTAAAGCAAAAGCCACTCACACAAGCAAAGCAGAGTATAAATCCGTTCAGTTTCCCATGTGCAGGCAGGTGTTCAGCCGTCCCCAGGAAAGCAGGGAACCATCACATGTAACAGTTACTTGGGAAGACAGACATCATCACTCTGAACTTCCCCCCACCTTTCTCCTTAAACCCCCATCTGAGCATGATATCATAATGTTATGGGATATCCCTTGGGTCAGTTGGGGTCAGCTGTCCTGGTTGTATCCCCTCCCAGCTCCTTGTGCACCCCCAGCCTACTCACTGGTGCTGTGGATGAGGAGCAGAAAAAGCCTTGACTCTGTGTAAGAGCTGCTCAGCAGTAATGGAAACATCCCTGTGATATCAGCACTGTTTCCAGCATAAGCCCAAAACATAGCCCCATACCAGCTACTATGAAGGAAATTAACTCTACCCTTTCTAAAACCAGCACAGTAAGTCTTCATAAGTAAACCCCAACAGGTACATACAGCGTGGCAAGTAATGTGGGATCAATAAGACATTTGGGTCTTAGAGTGAGAGAGCTTAATGAATCAACAAGAATGTTATCTACACTGTAGATGCAAAGTTACATCAAACAACCCTGTCCTCTGCTTTGACATTAATCAAGCCAGCCATTAAGATGCTCTGAATTTCATCCAGAACTTGGTTAGAAGCCAATCTCAGAGCCAAGGCATGTGAAAGGAGGCTTAAATCCAGAAGCTGGAAGCTTGCAAAAAGAATTAATTATCTTTAAGCATCATGATCATTATAGTTGTTTCCTTTGAGACATCTGTGAGGGAGTTAATTTATAATGGATAATTTTCTAGCCCTTTCTGTAAATGGAAGATGCCATATGTCAGAGCTGGTTTTCTGACAAGTTGCTTCTTTGGCTGACTTTTTTAAAGTTTCTGCTTCCCATTTGTTTTTTTGTGTGTTGAATGGAAACTTAACTGAGCCCTACATCCCTCTTTAATGAGGATCAGCTTTCCTTTTTCTTAGTCTTCCATTCTGCAATACTTAGTCACAAATATTTCTTTTTTCAGATCTAACATCAAAGCAAGAGAACTGTGATACAATCTGGCTTTAGATACAGAAAATGCTATATGGCCTTTCCCCCCCTGCGAGATGATCCTGCAATTTGTGCTTTAGGTTATGAAGATCTTCATTACACTGTTTCTTCGCCTGTTCCCTTTTTCCCTTTCTGCCACTACTGATAGTACAGGAGGTTTTACCTAACAAAGACTCCACAAGTGTTACCACTAAGTTTCTTAGAACAGCACCAGTAGCCCCTGTGCATATGCTTAAATACTTTGTTGATATTTTTGCAGTCAGTGAAATAGGTACTACAAGCCAAATTTTCTTCATTTCTTAGTTTTACCAAACATTCTTGTCTCTTCTTCACTCTGTCAAACAAAATGTGGTACATCACCAGAGATCGATTCTGCCTACAAGCAGAAATGGCAATGAAATCTACCATGCTGCACCAGAGCATCACAGTATCACAGTATCACAGTAGGTTATAGATTGGAAGGGACCTCAAAAGATCATCTAGTCCAATCCCCCTGCCGGAGCAGGAACACCTAGATAAGGTTACACAGGAACGTGTCCAGGTGGGTTTTGAATGTCTCCAGAGAAGGAGACTCCACAACCTCCCTGGGCAGCCTGTTCCAGTGTTCCGTCACCCTCACTGAGAAGAAGTTTCTTCTCAGGTTTAAGTGGAACCTCTTGTGCTCCAAGGGCATCAAGGGAAAATGTTCAGTCCAAAGCATCTGGGCATAGTAGTGCAAAAATTAAAAGAACAATGAGAGAAAATCTGCTTAAATACCAGGAATAATGTAGTTCAGACTGTGCTTCATTGCAGTGCATCACCTCCTGTGGCATTATACAATGCTACGGCACCTCTCTTCATTTACCACAAATCCTTATATAACATCTTAAATTTTAATTAAAAGTTGAGAACAACATTTAAGTTCCCATTTTCGCCTATGAAGAATTAATTCCAACATGGGCTGGAACAAAACAAAGAGTCAAAATATGCTGGCTAATCCCAGAGAATTTTTTTTTTTTCCACTTTGATTAATGTTTTAAGGTACACGTTTCTCATCTCTATAAGGGTGGAATAAGTGGGATTTCAGTATGAGATAGAAGAGACAGTGACTGAACATGGTAGCGGTACTAATGGGTTGCAGCTGGCCATGACAGCTTTGATCTGATATTATTTGAAGGATAAAGCAGTGGGGTTTTGTCAACCTTTTTTTCAATGTTGATTCTTGTTTCTTAAGTTTGGGGGGAATTTCTGTAGGTTCCATTTTTAATATCAAGTATTAAAGGCCACTATTCTTGTTATTGTCCATCCACAAAGAAAAATAACCTTCAAATTTTCTGGGGTCTTTTTTTATTATTATTTTTGGTAGATGTGCTTCACTTAAAATTTTCAGGGACCATAATTCCCTGATCTAGCAGAACAGTTAGGTCTTCCTGAAACCTGGCATATTTCACTTCAGGCAGATGAGGTACTGAATTTTCCTTCTGTGCTGAGTATCTTTTGACAGCACCAGTCCCCAGCTGCAACAGTAAATATACTGAACTTGAAAGATGACTAAATTAGGTACAAAGCCACGGGGGATTTCCTATTACCTCCATAAATGTAAGTATCCCCTGCTGATTAAATGTCCTGTAAACATTCTTAGACAGTTACTCATGCAGGTTGATTGTACAGTAGGAATAAAGAAAAACACCTACTTAGATGAATAAGATATTATGGGGAAAAAAAAATAAAAATAATAAGCCAGCTAGAAGTGCTCTCGCAATTTTTATACTGAGAAGGAAAGAACAGCTCGATGCTGTTGGAGGAATTATGCATCTGTCCTCTTCACGTTTCCCTCATCCAACAGTGCTGTAGCTTAAGCTGTCTGGATCCTGTCCCCACTCCCACCAGATATTTGTACTCAGAGAACAGGTTAAAATAACACTATTGTTTCATTTCTGAATAAACTTAATGAATGGGAAAAATGCAGTAGAATGTTCCATCTTAAGTATATAGAAATAGATACATTTTAATGGATATGTGTAAAAGGTGGACATATATCTGTATGTGAGATTACCTTTACATTTTATTTTGCCATCAAATTTCCACCATAAAAGATAGAGTAGAATTAATTGTGCTTATAGACCTCATGGAATGATTTCTGTTCCTCTTCAGTTTTAAGTGCCTGTTTTGAGGCATCTATGTGGGTGGGGCTTTTCAGATATTCAGAGATAACCAAATATTACAACACTTTTGAAAATGAAATCTGCATTGGATATTTTCTGTAAAATGCATATTGTTTCTGTTTGTAATGCTTTTGAAATTGGAGGAGGGAATGAGGAGGGTGTTTCGGTTTTGTTTTGGCGGGTTTTTTACCCCAAAAGAGTGGGGTTCAGGAATTCCATGCACAAGCAAGTTACAACTTTGAGCAGTGTTGGTAATATAACCCCACCCTTCTATGATTCAGTGAATTTAAGTTTAATATTAAGTCTCTGGTATAAAACAAATACTGAGGAGAGGGGTGAATCAAACAGCCATCTCCCACATGAGTGGAGGGAAAAGTCCCACCTGACAATATTCATATGTTCCCTTCCACTGACTTGTCCCCACTGACCCACAAAAAGCACACCAGGGACAGACAGACAAATATTCCCTCAGCTCAGAACTGCTCTGCGTCTTCTGCCAAGCCCACAGGAGCCAGGAGTCAGACCCACTAAGCAGAAGATAGTCATTCCCTCCCTTTTCCTAGTAGGAATCCTGAGATTGATCTCAAACATTCATATCTTTTGAGGAGGTTCATATAATTTCTGAATCATCTTCAGCTTCCTATCCTGTGAGAGTAAACACTGGGATGGTGCAGCTCAAGCTGTGTCTGGCTGCTCTTTCTCCTTCGGTCACCATTTTCTCCTTGTCCTCAAGCTATACTCAGGGTGCCATCCTGCTAGACTTTAGCTAAATATTTGTATAGATGAGGGCACTTTGTTCTTTTATGATTCATGAAGATGTACTGGCCCATTAGCATCAGCAAGGATAAAATCCACTTTTACTTTCATTTAAATAAATCTCTTGCATCTGTATGACTTCATCAGTCTGACAGTCCTAATGCTAATGTACCTTTCTTTAAGTACATACAAAATTAAAGCCAAAGGACAAAACGTACAGTAAACAGGCAACTCTTTAATTCTAACTGCAGAACAGAAGATGAAACAGACCAAGATTACACAAAGTGTTGGCATATTTAGATTTCTGTAAGGCATCTGAAATGTTATTCTGTACTAAATCATTTAGGAAACTGAATGATGTGAAGGAAGCATACCTTTCATTAGAGGCCTGATAGGTATATCTGTACCTATAATCATAAGGAGTACATCATTTTAAAGTGACTTTTTTTTAAATTACATCCCTCTAGCCATCAGAAGACAACATAAAAAATATTTCTTATTTTATTATACAGCTTTCTGATATTCAAAACCCAAGAAAATTGGAACCATTATGAGAACATGGTCTGGGGGTATTCTAATTTGCCCAGCAAAGCAGAAATTTCAGTACCAACTGAAGTGTGCTAATAAAGACAAGCAAAAGAATAAGACTGTAGGACAAGCAGAATAACAGCTGCTAGCCTGGGAAGAAATGACTCTAGGGAAAAAAAAGAGATAAATATGTAGATGAATATAATTTCTCATGCAATGTTACAATCAGGAGTTAACATGATTGAGTGGATGTATGCATTAACTGATGAACTTTATCTAGGCCCACTCCAGATAAAACTTAGCTGCCTGAATGGGTGTCTAGTGCCGTATGAAGTGTTGTTCAATACCCAAAAGAGCAAAGCACGTTACACGGATGTTACAAAGTGCCTACCAGAGATGAAGACCCATTTGCTGTGGCAACTGGAAGCTAATCAAGATTCAATTAACAAGAGAATTAAAGAAAAATACAATTGACCAAAAGCTAGTGCCTCTACCAAAGAACAAGGAAGGCAGGCAGGCAGGCAGGAAGGAAGGAAGGAAGGAAGACAAGAAGGAAGGAAGGCAGGAAGGAAGGAAGTAAGGAAGGAAGGCAGGAAGGAAGGAAGGAAAAACCTTACACACCTGACATTCTTTATGCCATCTGTTTGCTAACTAATCTGCCAATAAATGAGAAATCAGATTTTGAATATAAAGGTACATGCCACTCACCCTTTCACAAAAGAATGCACTGCTTCTTGAAATTGGTTTTCAACCCTAAGTGAAACTCAACCCTAGAGTGAAATTTTGGAAACATAGAAATGAGGTCAGAGAGTAACCAAATGCATAAGAATGTTCCTATAACTCGTTTCAGAGAAATACATTGTTTTGGAGAACAGTTTGAAAAAGATAACATATACAAATGAAGATGGGAAGAAGACACAACAAAGCCTTTCTTACCATTTGGACTGCTGCTAGC